ACGCGCATACGTGGCACGCACCGACATATAACCTTACGTCGTTCTTTTGACCTTTCCAATAGTACCGTTGCCGAACCGCCCGGTACGTCTCTTTCCRACCGGGGTKGTTGGATAAGACGTGATCGTGACACCTCCAAATTACGTGTTGTGCTTTGGATTTCGGTATCACGATGAGCGCGTTAGGGCCGACGTTTACACGTAAGAGCCTGTCGGAAAAGACATAAGTGYCGGTTCYCGTTTTGGCGTTCCTTGTGTTACGTGCTGGCCCGTCTAGCTTGAGACCGGCGATGACGTCGCATATCGTGGTGTCATCGGACTGCCACTGTTCTAACGTCGCTGCGNGTTACTGGAAAGTATACCAACGAAAATGAAATTATTAAAATTGAAAAATCTGTTGAAGTCTGTGGTACTACTAGTGCTAATAATTCCGATGAAAAATGTGYTATTGATAATACTAATGTGACTGTTACAACTGAGGCAAGTTTGATCGATAATATTGATAATAATGACATAATATTAAACCCAGATTTACCACCAAACAATTTTGCACGATTCTCCGATGATATTTCAACATGGCCACCGAAAATTTCGGAAAGCTTTCGGGAATACTTCACTTTAAATACTCCAAAACAAAATATAGATTGTATTCATAATTCAAAAAAAAACTATTTGAGGAGTTCTACGAAAATTAACTAAAGAACATTTTTATTTAACTAAAAAAAGTGGTCATGAAATACATAGAAGTTGGTTGATATATTCACCGTCGGCTGTTAGTTTATTTTGTTATATTTGTAAGCTATATTCACCGAACAACACGCTGTTATGTAAGGAGGGTTTTAGTGATTGGCAACATACTAAAGAACGACTTAGAGAAYATGAAAATTCATTTATCCATAGAAAAGCCATTTGTGATTTTTCAAACCGCTCTATAGATATTAAACGTATTGATTGTCAACTAGTTTTACAATACAAAAAAGATGTTCAGTACTGGAGGGACGTTTTAAAACGAACAGTAGCAGCTGTTCAATTTTTAGCTCAACGAGGATTAGCATTTTTTGGAGAAAATGAAATTATAGGAAATGGGCATAATGGAAWTTTTTTGGGTATTATGGAGTTAATAGCAAAGTTTGATCCATTTTTAAAAGAACACCTCAATAATTATGGGAACGTTGGTAGTGGTAAAACAAATTATATTTCATCATACACAGTTCRTGAAATCATAATTTTAATGGGAGATAAAGTTTTAAAACATATAATAGAAGAAATAAAAAATTCAAAATATTTTGGAATGATTGTTGACTCTACACCTGATATCACTCACATTGATCAGTTAGCTATTGTATTACGATACGTTAATTTTGATGGACAACCAGTTGAACGTTTTGTAAAATTYCAAGATATTTATGGGCATACGGCTGAGTATTTAACTGTTACTATAGTTGAAATAATTAAGAACTTTGGTATAGATATTAAAAACTGTGTTGGACAGTCATATGACAATGCCAGTAATATGTCTGGAAAGTACTCAGGATTACAAACRAGAATAAGAAAACTAGCTCCCTTAGCACTATTTTTACCTTGTGCGGCACACTCGTTAAACCTGGTCGGTGTTCATGCAGTWGAAAATTGTAACGGTGCAGTTGAATATTTTAGTATAATTCAATCTATTTATAACTTTTTTTCGTCTTCAACTCATCGTTGGAAATTTTTATGTGAACATCAAAAATGTAATGAAACGCTAACTATTAAATCGTCTTCACAAACACGGTGGTCCGCAAATGCTGATGCANGTTCGACCGCGGCGTACCTTGTTTGTGTCTCGTTAAACTTTTTGCTCGCGTAGGACACTATGCGTCTTTCCTCAGGTCTGTCACCCCTTTAGAAAAGAATTGCACCCGCGCCTATCTCACTTGCGTCGGTTTGTAGACAGAACGGTTTGCTGTAATCGGGCGGAGATAATTTTGGTGATGTGACTAGCGCGTTTTTTATTGATTTGAACGCGCGTTGTTCAACATCTGTCCACCTCCACCTAACCCCCTGTTTTAATAAATTTGTTAGGGGCGCTATGGTGTCCGCGTAGTTRTCCACGAACTGGTTKTACCAGTTGCACACYCCCAAAAATTTTYGAACGTCCTTTACCTTACGTGGAACCGGAAAATTGTCGATGCAGACTAGTTTTTCCGGTTGTTTTTCTATCCCTTCCGAATCTACAATGTGCCCCAAAAATGAAATTTCGCGTAAACCGATTTTACATTTTTTTGTGTTGCACGTTAGCCCAAACCTCTTAAGACGTTCAAGAACCTTGTCTAGGTGGCCTTGGTGTTCCTACTCGTCCCGTGAAAATATTACTATATCGTCTAGTTATACTTGTACGAAATCATATTGGTACCCTCTCATGACTGACTTCGTTCATGAGTCTTACAAAGGTCATCGGACTATTCTTGAGACCGAAAAGTAGGACCCGGAACTGAAATAAGCCTCTACGCGTCCGGAAAGCAGTGTATTTTCGCGCATCTTTATGTAGTGGTACTTGCCAGTAGCYGCTCCTAAGATCGAGAATACTAAATACTTTTGCGCCCCGCATTTGCCTAATCAYCTTGTTGAGATCTGGCATTGGGTACGCGTCGGACTCCGTTACTTCGTTGAGCCTCCTGTAGTCGACACAGAGACGAAATGAACCGTCTTTTTTCTTTGCCAATACTACTGGTGCGGCCCACGGCGAAGTGCTAGGTTCTACGAGCCCCTGTGTTTCCATATCGCGCACCATATCATCGATAGCCGTTTGCTTCTGCTGTGGGTACGGGTATGGTTTTAGCGCGATTGKTGATGGGTCTTTTAACAAAATTTCGTGTTCAATTAGTTTGGTACGTCCTACTTTGTCGGTGAACTCTACCGCGTATTTATTTAATACCGCGGTAAGTTTTACGCGCAATTCGGTGTCGTTACCGAATTCTAATTGCAATAGGTCGGGTCTGGTGGCGGGTGGTTGCGTCTTCCCTTTCCAACATGTCGACGTACGAATTTGTTTACCCATATGAATCGTGCATGCGGCGTAATCCCAAGAGACTTCGTTATTGACAAGGAAGTCATGTCCTAGTAACGCGTCGCAATACAGGTTGTCTAGAATAGTTGCTTCGAATTTTATGTCGAGGGCCCCTATTCTAGCTTCGAATGTGGAAGTGCCACTGGTTGTTGCAGTGTGACCGCCCAATCGGAAATTTACAACGGGCGCGATACTGTACCAGTACTGGCCAATACTGGCACACTACTGACCGCCAGTGTTAGGACAGTACTGGCATATGTCTGGGATGATCACGCTTTACCAGTACTGATCGGTACTGTACTCCAGTACTGGTCAGCACTGGTCATTACTGTACTTCCAGTACCAATCAGTACTGGTAAAATATTATTATCCCAGACACGACAGTATTATATGTCAGAGTTAATAATGCTTTACCAGTAGTGGACTCCCCTTCTTACCAATAGTATAATATGCATATATTATGACACTGACACATGATGCTCTGGGTAAATCTGTATTCTGTATAATAAATATTTGCACGTTTATTTTTTTACTTTTAAAAGGTTGATCTTGGAAATTATCTCATAAATAACTATATACAGTAATAAATAAGTCTGTTTAACAAAGTCTCAGGGGTGATTTAGGGGAAACAAATAAATTTGTATTACAGAGGAATTTGTTAAATAGAATTAACGTTTAATTAACAATGAAGATCAAGGTTCTCAAAAATAATTCATGTTAAATAGAAGTTTGTTATATGGATGTTTCACTGTATTTGAGTTTGAAGGTTTTTATTTATTTATTTGGAGTAAAATGTAATATCAGAAAAACAGGTAGGTAATTAATTTAAGTATTAAGTATAAAATAATAGTTTTATTTAAGCCATTTTATTTTYATTTTATTTTTTTGTTTGATTTATTATTTTTGAGTCATCAGTTCTTCATTCTAAGTTTCTTCTCTCCTTCACGGTCCTTGGCCCCCGAAAACCAACGGCTTAAAATGCTCGAAATCTCTTTTCCCTTTGCATCTTCATGTTTAGTAGTAAGTGCTTCTGAAATTTAAAAAAAATTGAGTAACTAAAAAAGGATTGACCAACAGCAATTATAAATATTATAAACAGGGTTCATCATTTTTATGTCAATTATGTTTTTTTTCATTTTTTTTACTACATATTTGAGTATTTTTTTATTTTTAGAGCACAAATGCTATGCATATTTAAACCAGTTTGGGACATAAAATTATGAGCTCTGTTTATAAACAATGTTATAAAGATTACCTAGTAAGTATTTATAAGTGATGGTAGAAGAAAAGTTTAGTTTTTTTTGGCCATTAGTTTYCCTTCCAAACGCACTGTACATTAGTTGAACCTCTTTACAGATTATTTTAGGAATAACTACTGTAATGTTCTCACTTATTTTTGAAGAGGTTTTCATATTGAGAACGATAAAACATTTCTGAAAATTAACAATAAAAATTAAAAATGAATTAGTTACAATATTTACAAATTATAAGTATTCACCAATTTTTTGACAAGTTCAGTGTCAGTCTCTAATTGTCTCTCAAAATCTTTAAAGTCTTTCAAAGTCATTTTGGGCAAATCCATAATTGTATTGTCATTAAGTATTTTTTCGATATCTGTTGTTTTATTTGAAACTTCAAATAATGCTCGAGTTATTTTAGATTCTTCCTTAATACGATATTCAATACTTCTTTTAAGTGATTCTAAATCAGATTTTGTAACTGTTATAGCATTATCTGAAATAAATAGTACAATGCTTAATTTAACTGTCCACTATATAGATACTGTCTGTGTTTAAATTTTAATGTTTTATTTATTTATACCTGAGCGACCACATGTTGGGCAATGCTTCTTATTTGGTGCATATGTAACTACAAGAGAAAATGTTTATATTATTATAAATTATACAATGACTGTTAGTATTTAAAAAAAACTAAATATTTAGNGATACTGATTCTGAAGAAAGACAATTAGATCCAAGAGCGAAGTTTATGAGTGATATTCATTATGTTATTTGTGATAAATTTATAGCTGAATTGAATAAACGAAAAATGGCCTATATTGAAGTAGAAGAAAAATTTGGATTTTTATTCAATAAAAATCCTGATAGAAAGGAAATTAACAACCAAATAAAAAATTTACAATCAATGTACACAAATGAACTAGATTTGGATCCCGATAATTTTGCAGATGAAGACCGATAAACCGTCTTCGCTCAGAATCGTTTTTTGTGTACAATGATATAATATCATTGAATTCAAATTTAATTCCATCCATTACAGTAACCCACTTGTAACCTACTGTACAGCAGAGCGATATACACGACTTACCCGCTTTTTTATATTTTCATTTGATTATAAAAAAAGTATAAAATATTTCTATACAAAATGTTGATATCTAAAATCTTTATTTAAACATATATTTAGATATTTTCATACAGGTAGCACAATACTTGTTTACGTTTTATTCTGTTACGTTACGAGGTCATCCTCGTCATCCGGCGTTTGGCCATGGTGCATTCGACGCGGAGAGCCTCGATGTCCGCGTTCCACCAGTGAACGGGGGGCTTCCTCGGGTTAGTCGTCCGACGGGTGGGAAAGGCAAAGTCGCAAGCGGCTGTGAGCCTCGACCGAAGCGCGGAAGCCCCGCGTTCAGTGTCTTGCCAGTCCTGGAGGTCGCCTTGCTCTAGCCACTCAGCCAGAATCAGTCCGGCGAGGAAGGTGTCGTTGGCGACACCACCCGCGGTGTTCCAGGCGCGTGGGGCGATGGTTGTCGCGGGAGTGGCTCTGACTTGATCGCGTCCGGGAGTCAGGGAGAACCTGATGTAATGGTGGTCGCTGTTGTTGAACACCGACTCCAGTACCCTCCAGTCTGTGATCCGGGCTGCCAGGGTGTCGCAGGCTAGGGTGACGTCGACGATGGATCTAGCGCCTCTTGAGAAGGTTGGAGTTGAGCCCGCGTTCGCGATGACCAGACCGAGGGACTCGATCAGCAGCTCCAGTTCTTCACCTCTCCTGTTGTCAACCCAGTCACCCCACGCAGCAGATCTCGCATTGAGATCCCCGGTGACGAGGACGGGGACTTCCTGTTGAACGGTCCTGATGCTGTCTTCGAGACGGCGGAGCAGGTCCTGGAAGTCTTCGATGGGCCTGTTGGGTGACGCGTAGCAGCTGTACACCTGGACGCCGTTAAGCCGAGCTGAGACGAACTCGGGGTCGCTGATAACGTTGGCCACGGTAACTCCCGTGTTCGCGACGTAGATGGCCGCCTTCCGTTGTCCGGCGCTCGCGTGCCAGGCGCTGGATGCGGAATCCACCTTGTAGGGATCGCTGATCAGGGCGACGTCGACTCTTCCTTCAACCATGAATTGCGCGACGAGATCTTGGGCCACGCGACAATGGTTGAGGTTGCACTGCACGAAGTTGAGTCCCATCACACCATTCCACTTGCTTCTGCAGGCGCCTCGCATCTTGAGGTTGAGGGCTGTGGCTGCTGCTGATTCTGCGTCTCCTTCTGCGCGGTGCAGTCCTTCACCAGGTGGTCGTCCTTTTTGCATCTGTAGCAGCGGCGGGGCTTGGCCTCGTCCCGACACTCAGCTGCCAAGTGTCCCTTCCCTTGACAGCGGAGGCAGGTTGGTTGGTTGTTAGCCAATAGCTTGACCCTGCACCTGGTCCACTCCACGGTGACCGCTTTCTTCTCCRCCAGCGTGATGGCGTCCTTGAGCGGCAAGTGGAGGCTCGCGACGAACTCCCCTCTGCCACCGGAGTTCTTGCGGATGGTCACGTTCTCAGAGGTGACTCCAGTGACTCCCGCGTGTGTGACGCACTCAACGACGTTGTCTGCCTCTGCCCATTCTGGAATTCCCAGCAATAGAACGGGCGTACGCGGCTCAGGTAACCTGACCCTGGCCTCATCKCCTACGGCCTCCCGGATCTTCTCGGCTAGTAGCGTGGCTTTTTCACTCCCCTCGACCTCGAGGAGAATTCCTCCCGCCCTGGTCTTTCTTGTCGTCAAGACCTTGACGCCAAGGGACTGAAGGTTGATCGAGCTCGATACCTTYTTCATCACGGAGGCTAGGGAGCTTCCTTCGGCCGGGCGGTCGATGGTGACCGCCATGGATCRCKGAGCCCGTTTCCGCAGGAGAGCCAATTGGTCGGTGGCCGAGCGTGGTTGTTGGGCCGGCTTCGGTGGCCTMYTCTTTCTAACGACCTCGCTCCAGGTCTGCTGCTGCTGGGGATCCTGCTGCGGTTCCTGCTGCTGTTCCTGCTGCTGTTCCTGCTGTTGCCAAGGCTGCTTCAGTTGTCGCTGCTCGCGCTGCACCTCCGGCTGCAAGGGTTGCTGGCGTTTCTTCTGCTGCTGCTGTTGCTGTGGCTTCTGTTGCTGTTRCTGCCGTTTTTGTTTCTGCCGCTGTTGCTGTTGCCCCTGTTGCTGCTCTTTTTCGGGAACTGCAAGCGGGGGAGCAGTGTTAGTGGCAGCGTCCTTGACCTCACGGCCGACGAGTGCCCCGGGGGCCATCGTGTTGGTGGCCGCATCCTTGCSCTCTCGCTTGGCTGGTGTGCTCGAGTCGCTAATCGTTACCAGCGCCTTCACGCACCGCAGCGAATGGTTGAATGCCGAGGTTACTTCAGTTCGACATTTCTGAATACCCTTCACCACCTCCAGAATGTCCCTGATCGCCGAGCTAACCGTGGGGCTTTGGCTCTTCTTAGACACAAGCTCCAGGTGGGACGCCTTTTCGAACAGGAGGTCCAGACCACCCTGTTGTGTGCAGAGCTTGGACCCAAGCTGTTTAGTCGCAGCTCTTAGTGCCTCCGCTGCTGTTTCACTTCCAGTCACCGATGTGGCCTCCACAGTAGCCGAAACCACTTTCCGGTCGCCGGCACCTGCACCTACAGTCGTGTTAACATCCCCGTGGATGCCTGTCTGCTTACATCGCTGTCAGCACTTGTTTCAGCTCTAGTACTTGATAGAGTAGCGGGGGCCTGGCTGGCCACCCCCGCACCCTCACGGTCGCTAGATGACGACCGTAGTGGGCCCGCTACGTTGGATCTGGGTATTATGCCAGATCCACCCACTACTGCCGACCCCTGGGGTTCCGAGGCCCCTGAGGTGGTAACA